TCCATGGGGATCCTCAGCCCTGTGAGCACCTGCCTCTTCCCCGGCTCACCATTCTTTACCCCCTCCGGACTCAGTGCTGGACGAGGACAGGACACTGGGGTCATCTGGGACCCGCTCTGGCCTTCCGAAGCTTCCCAGGCACAGTGTGCGGTACTGCTGGAGCAGGCCGGGGCCTGGCACTGACGGCCCGAGTGCTGTGACAGCTCCACAGCCCTGGCTGGAGGTGGGTGTGGTCTCAGGGTCCAGGAGAGCCGTCCTTGCCCTCCCAGGTTTCGCAAAGGGGAGGTGCTAGGGACGACTGAGGGCAGGGCCCCGACCCGTCTCGGTGCGTCCCCCAGGGCGCACCTGTACCGTCGTGCCCGTCTTGACGAGCAAAGCTGCTTCTGCCGCTGGGCGTGTTCGGTGCGTTGCAGGCTTGCCTGTGTGCCACCGGGCTGGTTGCCGAGAGTGGCCAGGCCTGGCGGGGGGGATGAACATGTGGCTGTCATACTTTCCAGGAGCCGCTCGGTGTCCAAGGGCCCACTGGGCGAGTGGGGCAGGCAGAGCGTGAGCCCAGCGCTCCCTCTCCGAGGCAGGTCTCTGGCTGGTGGTCGACGCTCCCCTGGCCCATGGCGTGGCCACGCCGCGGCCCTCCTGTCCTGTTGCTGGGGCTCGGGGCACTCGTACACTGTGCCTGGCGTGCACGTCGAGGCTGCCAGGGCCGCTGTGTGAGCGCGCGTCTGCCACCACACGCGCACGCCCAGGCCTGGGACGAGGGGAGCAGGCTGGCATCGAGGGCACGTGTCCGTGTCCGTCTTTTTGTTTTAGAATTGTTTATTTAACTTTATTTATTATTACTGTTTTTTCATTTGACTACAGAGAGAGAGGGAAAGTGAGAGAGCCAGTCCCCAGGTCTGGAGCCCAGCCACCTTCGGGGCGCTATTTGTTTTATGTCCATGGCCAAAATCTTCCAAGTAAAAATTTTTTTCCTAAAGAATTATTTTGTTTAACTTTATTTATTTATTTAAATTTGACCAGAAAGGGACAGAGAGAGAGAAAGTGAAAAAAAAGAACAAGGTGCCTGCCTCCCCCCCCCCCCGTAAACATTTTAGCTTAGGAACTCTTTTTTTTAAGATTTTTTTGCCATAAGGCATGTGTGTTTGCCAGAGAGTGAGAAATCAACCCCCGGGGATGGCCACACCACAGTCCCTTCTGCTTCATTCTCCTCTCGGGATTTTGTGCACACAGGCACATGTATGTGGTTTTCTTTTTAATTTTTAAAAAATTGTTTTATTTGACTTTATTTATTTATTTATATTTAACCAGAGTGGAACAGAATAAGAGAGAGAAGGTAAGAAAGCAAGCTGCCAGGTCCAGGACTCGAACTGTGGTCAGCCATGTGGGAGTCCATCACCTTAACCATCGTGCCACCTGCCAGCCCTGTATTTTTAGAGATTTTTGATAGAAAGCGTGTGTGCTTACCAGGGAGACAGAGACAGAGAGCTAGAAAGCAATCACTTCCCAGAGGAAATGGCCACGCCACAATCTCCTCTCCTCCATTCTCCTCTCGGGATTTTGGGCACGCATGTGTGCACACATGCCCAGTGGGAGTCCAGCAACATGGCCGTTATGTCCCCGCTGGTCCCATAGGCACATGTTTTTGTTTGTTTGTTTGTTTGTTTGTTTTTGCTATAGGGCGCGTGCGCTCGCCAGACAGAGAGACAGAAAGCAAGAAATCACCCCCCAGGGGGGATGGCCATGCTGCAATCCCTTCTCCTCCATTCTCCTCTGGCGATCTTGGGCACGCACGCACATGCGCCCAGCGTGAGTTTAAGCCACCGGGTCCGGGACGCGAACCACGGTCGACTACGTGGGAGTCCAGCGACATGGCCATTACGCTAACTGCTGGTCCCAGGCACGTGTTTTTCAAGCTGCTGTCTGGATTGAATGCCGACTTGGCCGTGTAGGATTCGGTACCTTAACCTCCATGCGCCCTGCTGGCCCAAGCCTGGGAGCTCTATCCTCTTCTCTCCGTCTTCCGGTCTCCCTTTCAGATGGCTGCTTACCCACCCTTAGCTAGACCGCGCTGTCCACTTGAATCTGCCACCCTCTCACCCCAGAGCCACACTTGCTGGGCCCCAGGATGGCTCAGTGCGCGGTGTGGCTACTGGCTAGTGGGTGGGGACAGTTGTCTCGGCCTCCTCCGGAGACCAGGCCTGCACCTGCTGCGCTGCCCAGAGCCGAGCGCTGTCCGTGGTGGTGGTGGGGTTTAAGGGCTCTCCCTGGTGCATGCAGTATAGCTGGGAGGGGCCAGCGGCAGGGAGCGGCCCTGCTGGCCTCTCCTTGGTCCTGGGGTGCTGAGCCACACGGTCCACAGGTGCCTCCTCAGAAGGGCTCAGGGCACTGCGAGGGGCCTGCACCAGCAGTCCTGCCCTGCCTTGGGCGGCTCCTCAGTCGCGGTGCCCAGCAGATGGGCTGACCGCCTGGAACAGGCGCACTCAGCGTTGTCGGGGAGGGCCAGCATGCCCGATTCGGAATCCGTCTGGGTCTCCAGCCTTGCTCCGCTGCCCCGGCAGCCGTGGCTCTTGGCCAGGCCTGGGGCCACAGTGCCATCTAGGGGCAGCCTGGTGCAGGGCAGCCCCTTCCCTCGTAGAGCAGGCTTGGGGAGCCCCTGGGCCCTGTGGGTGCGAGGCAGTTCCCTGTGGAGGTGGCCCTGGTTCTGGCTCTCAGCGAGCGTCCATAGCCATCGTGGGAATCAGTTTCAAGCATTGTCCTCATGGCCCGCCCACAGGGTGCACACGCTTCCCGTTTGACAGATAATTCCGAGAGTATCCGCCCGGAGAGGCAGGAGGTGGGAGTGACGGAGGCGGTGGGGGGGTTGGGGTGACGGGGTGCAGGGAGGGTGTGGGCAGCTGAGCACAGTGCCCTCCAGAAGAGCGTTCTGCTCTGTGGAGTACGCCCAGGAGGCCCCCAACCTTCACTCTTTTTTTTGTTTTTTTTTTTTTTGAGAGGTTTTTGCTATAAGGGTGCATGTGCTCTCCAGAAAGAGAGAGACAGAGAGACAGAAAGCGAGAAATCACCCCCCAGGGGGATGGCCATGCCGCAGTCCCTTCTCCTCCATTCTCCTCTCGGGATCTTGGGCACGCACGCACATGCGCCCGGTGTGAGTTTTAAGGCACCGGGTGTGGTACTCGAACTGTGGTCGACTATGTGGGAGTTCAGTGGCATAGCCATTATGCCAACTGCTGGTCCCCCACCCCACTTTCACTTTGAAGTGTGTTTATCTCTGTGAGTGAGACACAGCGCCCAGCAGTCTGGCAGCACAGCCCACCCAGCCATAGCCAGGCTGGACCATGGGCCCAGCATGCCAAAGGAGAGGTCAGGCCCAGACCTGGACCTTCCAATGGCCCAACCTCGCGTGCCATTTGTTACCCTGCGGGGGCACGTGCACTCCTGAAGAGAGCAAGCACCCTGGCATATCCCCGTGTGCCACAGTCCTTTCCCCACCGTCTGGAGATTCTAGGCATGTGCGCACACAGGCCTGGCATGGTTTTCAAGCTGCCAGGTCCAGGACCCAAACTGCAGTCAGCCACCCGGAGTCTAGCGCCTTAGCTACACTCCGCCGCCCAGCCCCGTCGCCCCTGTTGAAGCCGGCTGTTCCCCTTATCACTGTCGTGGTGTAGTTCTGAGTGGCGGGCCGTGGACTGCAGCCCCTTCATTCTGTGGGGTGCATGTCCACCGTGCCTGCTGCCCTTCGGTGCATGAGAACCAGGCGTTGGTGTGCACTCAGGAGCGGGCCAGGCAGAGATGCCCAGACAGGGCACACACGCAAACACACCAACACACAGACGGGCACAGATGCACACAGCGACACAGACATGGACACACGCACGTGGACACACACACACATACAGACACACACAGACGTGGACACACAGACACACACAGACGTGGACACACAGACACACGGACACATGGACACTCAGACACAGTCATGGACACACACATGGACACTCACAGACACACACAGACGTGATACACGGACACCCTCTCTGTAACAGCAGCACTTAAGTTTAAACAGAAAACCCCCACTTCTGGGCAAGCAGGTAGCTTGGAGGTTACATTACAACTCTGGACCCCACATGACCGACTCCGCAGTTCAAGTCCCGGCCCCCGCGGCTTGAGAAACGCCCAGCATGTGTGCATGCAGCCCAGAACTCCAGGAGGAGGAGCAGGCTGGTGGTGTGGCCGTCCCTCCTGGGGGGTGGTCCCCACTTTCCCTCTCCCCTCCGTAACTCCCTGTGGCGAAACAACAACGCCCTTTGGAACAAGTGTCAGGAGCGGCGAGAAACCGGCAGGACAGCTGTGTCTCCATGGCTTCTGGGTTGGTGGCGCTGAGTCCCAGCATGGGAGCTTGGGAGCTCGCTGGTAGCCTGGGAGTTGGTGAGGTGGCCGGCCCCCGTTTCTCATACGCTGGCTGTGTCCCGTCAGAGCGGGGAAGGCCTGACCTGGCAAGCACGCCTTCTCCAGAGAGCTCTGCAGAGGGGGCATTTTAACAAGCTTGCCCTTCTCTGTGCCCGGCGTGCCCCAGTTGCCTTGCTGGGGCTGCAGTGAACCTGGGAGCCCAGGGATGCTTTGTCCGCGCCAGAGTGCCCAGGAGGCCGGTTGGGTTGCAGACCTGGCGCTGTCCTCTGCGCCCATACCACCCTCTGGCCAGTGCCCACTGGGGGAAGCAGCCGGGTGCTATGAGGCGGCAGAGGGAGACCCGGTTTCTGGCAAGAGCATGTCCCCTAGTGGCCGGCCAGGGAGGCCGTGCCACTCGACGGCCTCATCCACGTCCTGGCCTGCCTTGTGGCCCACCCTGCAGCAGTGGGCAGGCCGGAGCCACTGCCCTTGGCCTGAGAAGGCCTCCTGGTGGGTCGCTGTGGCTGAGTAGAAGTCGCCCCCGTGGTCACAGCGTGGCCCGTTGCTGGGCCTGCCTCCGAGTCCCCGTGCCCTCAGTGTGCTCTGCTTCCCCGCAGGGATCGACTACAAGACCACCACCATCCTGCTGGACGGCCGACGTGTGAAGCTGGAGCTCTGGTGAGTCGGCCCCGCGCCGCCACTGTCGGTAGGGGTACGGCTGAGGGGAGGCCCTTAGACAGACAGGAAGGCACTCCTGCCGTGGCCCTGGACCGGCCCTCCAGGCAGACCGCTCGTTGCACATCACTGCACAGTGAGTTCACGCCAGAGCATGTGCACGGTGGCTCGGGCGGTGGCACCGTGTCAGCAGCACGGTCTCCTCTTTCTTGTTTCTTAAACACTTTGCTTTCCCCTCCCCCGACTCGCTACCTCTCACCCCTGCAATCCCCGCCCCACCCTGTCTCTGGTATGTAGTGCTTTTCCCATGCTTCCTTTTCACGTTCTGTCGATTCACTAAAGATCTTAAACACTTTGAATAGCAAGCACAGGTGATACATATGTATGTCTGTGTGTGTACACGCACGCACACGTCTGTTACTACAGTGAACATACTACACTATAAAGTAGCACCTCGCGCAGCTGTATAGCTCCCTGCAGTCACTAAGTAGGTATCCATAGGTATTTTTAATGTATTAAAAACATTTTTTTTGGAGAGGTTTTTTGTTTTTTGTTTGTTTGTTTGTTTGTTTAATAGTTTTTTGCTATAGGGCACGTGCGCTCGCCAGACAGACAGAGACAGAGAGACAGAAAGCGAGAAATCATCCCCCAGGGGGGATGGCCACGCTGCAATCCCTTCTCCTCCATTCTCCTCTCGGGATCTTGGGCACGCACGCACACGCACCCAGCATGTTTAAGTTGAACCACGGTTGACTACATGGGAGTCCAGCGACATAGCCATTACACGAACTGCTGGTCCCAATGCATTTTTTAATTTGAAAAAAAATGTTTTTAGTTTTAATAGATCAAAATAAAAAAATATTAAGAGAAAATTTCTTAAAACTTAAAGCCAGGAAAAAGATTAGAATTCTGTTCAAACAGTAGGTAGATGCTAAAAAGTCAAAAATCCTTAAATATGGAAATTAAAGCATCAAAGAAAATTAGTAATGTTTTAGTTTAAAGTAAAAAATTCTGTTTCAGCAGTTCAGATTCATGTAGTTAATCTCTCTTCTATTGAATTTGCAGTACCTCTTTGGGCTGGTCTTTCCATTTAAGTCCTGGAAGTTAGCTTTGATTATTATTACTGATATTCCTAAACTTGCCCCCACTATTAAGTTGGCCTTTTTTTTTTAATAATTATTTATTTTATTTTATTTATTCTTTCATTTTATTTTTTAGTTTGACCAGAGAGAGATAGAGGGTGAGAGTGAGAGAGAGGAAGTGAGAAAGCAAGCCACCAGATTCAGGACTTGAACCCTGGTCAGCCATGTGGGAGTGTTCAGCGCCTTAACCACCATGCCACCTGCTGGTCCCCTAAGTTGGCCTTTTTCTTGGTCATTTCTTGTTCTCTTATTTCTGTCTGTCTTTAGTTTTCCTGGTCTAACACTCCCTTCAACACTTCTTAAAGAGCTGGTCCGGTGTTGGTAAATTCTTTCAGGTTTTGTTTATCTGAGAACGTTTTGGGGTTTTCTAACCAATGTGAAGGACAGTCTTGCCAGATATAATATTCTTGGTTAAAATTGGTTTTCACTTACCACTTTGGGTTTTTATTCCCATTCTTTCCTTGCTCACATTGTTCCCATCGAGAAGTCTTGATGTTAGCCTGATGGGACATCCTTTGAAAGCAACTTGACTTTTTTCTTTTGGAGAGGTTTTCACTATAGGGCGTGTGCGCTCGCCAGACAGACAGAGAGAGAGAGACAGAAAGCGAGAAATCACCCCCCAGGGGGGATGGCCACGCCGCAATCCCTTCTCCTCCATTCTCCTCTCGGGATCTTGGGCACGCACGCACACGCGCTCGGTGTGAGTTTTAAGCCACCGAGTCCGGGACGCGAACCGCGGTCGACTACGTGGGAGTCCAGTGACATAGCCATTACGCAAACTGCTGGTTCCCGACGTTTCTCTCTTCCCAATCGTAGTACCTTGTCTCTGTGGTTTTGGTCAATCTGGCTCTGACATGCTTCGGGGAAGATCTTCGTAGGTCGATTCTGTGGGGTCCTTTGTATTTCTTGGGTCTGGATATTTGAGTGCCTCTGTAGGTTTGGGAAGTTTTCTTCCAGGAGTTCATGGAACAGATTACTGGTGCCCCGATTAGCTCCCTCACCTTCTTGGACACTGATGGTCTGGATGTTGGGCCTTTCATGGTCTCTAGTAACTCGAATGTCATTCCCATTTTTTGTGGTTATCTTCTCAGTCTTTTTGGTGAAATTTACTAGGTCAGAGATTCTATCCTCTACATCTGAGATTCGATCTTCTGCATGTTCTAATCTGCTTTGGATTTTTTAAAGGAATTATTTATTAAATTTTATTCATTCATTCGATTATTTTAATTTGACCACAAACACAGAGAGAGAGAGAGAGGAAAGGGAAGTGAGAAAGCAAGCCACCAAGTCCAGGACTCGAACCGTGGTCAACCATGTGGGAGAGTCCAGTGCCCTAATCACCACGCCACCTGCTGGTTCCCTGCTTTGGATCTTTTCAGGGGCAGTTCTGATTTCCTGTATTGCAGCCTTCATCTCTAGCAGTTCCGTTTGATTCTTTTTATGATGTGCATCTCTTTCAGACCGTGCAAGGACTCCCCACCTCCTGGAACTTGGTGTCTCTTGTCTCCTGCATCTTCTGGCGTCTGCTGTCTCCATTCTCTTGCATCCCTGTTCGCTTTGTCATTCTGAGTATTTTAATTCTGTATCTGACATTTCCATCAGTCCCCTGTATTCTCTGGAGGAAGAGGAGTTCGTCTTTCCCCTTAGAGGAGAGAGGTTCTCTTCTTTCTCATGTCTCTGTGTCTCTCTGGAGGTTTCTGGTCATCCGATGGGCTATATGCTTCCTCCTCGTTCTGGGAGTTAGACCTGAGCTCTCAGAGTGCAGGAGGAGGGGCCTGCAGCCGCGCAGCCGCACCGTCCTTCTCCCTTTGCACAGCCGACTCCGTGGAAATTGAGGGCTAACCTGACCCTGCAAGTATTCAGGTGTTGGCTGCTGCGCACCTAGGCCTTATGAAGGCCGAGCAGAGAAGTGAGAAAGGGAAAACTAGAGGAAAAAAGACAAACACATAAACAAAACAATTTTTTTTGACAAGAAATGAAAACCGTGCAGTGTGCTAGCGTGGTGCGCACATGGGGCCGCTCGGAACTCAAGCGTAGGTGGCTGCTGCTTGGCCTGTCCTACGGGGTGGGGGAGGTGAGAATAAAGAAGCAGCGGAGAGCTAAGTTTAAAAATCAGGAGAGTCAGTCGGGTGCTCTACCCTGCTCCTTGGCTAGGTCTGTGGGGCGGGGACGCCCAGGGGAAAGTGGGAATCACCCCCAGGGGACGAGTATGTCACAGTCCCTCCTCCAGTCTCCTCTCAGGGTTCCTGGCGCGCCCGCACACATGCCCGGCGTGTTTTCAGAGCCCATGGCCCCTTCGCCTTGGACTGGGGTTCACCTCAAAGAGTGTGTCCTGGGATGCCCAGGCCTGTGTTCTCCAGCCTGTGGGACAGTCCCCGCACTCCTGGGGCTCGGACTCAACCCAGTGGACGCAGCCAGCCCGACGTAGGGACAGCGCCTTCCTGGTACGGCCATCCATGTCTGCTCGGCCACCTGCTTCCCGGCCTTGCCTGGACGTGCAGGCTGCAGAGCGGACAGAGGACAGGCAGGCCCCCAGTCTGGTGTATGGTGTATAGGCTGAGGGGCCGTGGCCGCTGCACCCCTGACCCTCCCCTGTGTTGCAGGGACACGTCGGGCCAGGGCCGGTTCTGCACCATCTTCAGATCCTACTCCAGGGGCGCCCAGGTAAGCCCAGTGCTGCACTCGGCGGGCGACTCAGCCAGCTCGCCGAGCACCTTCCATCCCTGAGGCTGTCTTGGCATTCGGACGTGGGCTCTTCTCTACCAGGGGAAACTGGCGAGGGGAGCTGCTTGCCACCCTTCCCCTGAGGAGGCGGGTGGGCGGAGAGCCACGACAGCTGGCTGTAGCTCCCTGCACTCAGGCACCAGCGGCTTCTGGCAGAGCTGGGGCAGTTTGGGGTGCGGGGGCTTCGCTCTGACTTCTGTTCTGATATGGGCCGCAGCTACACAGGCCTGGGTGTTTTTCAGAACTCATCAGAACGTTCACACCTCACTCTGTTCTGTGCGTCAGTCCCAGTTCAGTAGATAGTCACGGGGGCCGGCAGATGGACTCCCACATGGCTGACTGCAGTTTGAGTGCCAGACATGCTGGCCTGAAAATCACGCCGGCGCACGTGAGTGTGCCCAAGATCCCAGGAGGAGACTGGAGGAGGGGCTGCAGCGTGGCCACCCCCGGAGTGATTTCTCACCTTCCCTCTCACTGTCTTTGTCTCTCTAAACCCCGTGACACCGAGCCGCCTGCCGAGCATTTCTCGTGGGCAAGTGAAGAGCGTGTGCTCGTAGGACGTCACCAGGGTCCGCAGTGCAGGCAGAGCAGCTGGGAGCCACGGCATGCTGGGCACGGCATGGCCTACGGCACTGTCAGGACGGCTGGCCGAGCTCCATGGGTGTGCAGGGGCCCTGGGGCCAAGCAGGCGGCAGCATGTGTGGGACATCCGGGTGACACTGAGGAACACAAGTTCTCCGGAGCGTTCCTGCACGGGAGGGGGGGCCAGTATGTATGTATGTGCCTTTTAAGGGTTTCACCATAGGCCGTGTGCTCACTGGGAAGAGACAGACAATGAGAGGGGGTTTGAACATGCTTGCACACTTGCCTGGCATGATTCTCATGCTGCCAGGTCTAGGACTTGAACTGCAGTTGACATGTGGGAGTCCAGTGCCTTAACCACTACACTACCTGCCGGCCCCCAAGGGAGCTGGTATTTATTGTGCCTGAAAATACTGGTTTCTTTAGTTTCTAATCATATTTTGTTTGCTAGTGAGCAGTGCACTTACTAGGGAGAGGGTGCAAATGCCCCAGTGGGTGTGACCACACTGCAGCCCCCTGGCCTCCATTTCTCCAGCCCACCAGGACTGGGAGCACAAACACACATGTGGTTGGTGTGTACTGCAAGCCACCGGGGCTGGGTTTGAACTGCAGTTGGCCGTGTGGGAGTCAGCTTCCTTAGTTATCACCAGGCTCTGGAGCAGAATGTAGGAAGCAGTAATGGCGTATACGTCACTGCACTCCCCTGGAGCTGACCACGGCTCGCGTCCTGGACCCAGTGTGTGCGAGCCCAGGGTCCCGAGCACAAGTGCCCTATAGCAAAAACCTCTCTCTCTCCTTGTTTTTTTTTTTTTTTTTTGTGGGGTTTTCTTATAGGCACCGCGCCAGGTTTTGCTATAGGGCACGTGCACTCTCCAGAGAGACAGAAAGTGAGAAATCACCCCCCAGGGGGGATGGCCACACCCCAATCCCTTCTCCACTCTCCTCTCAGGATCTTGGGCACGCACGCACACGCGCCTGGCGTGAGTTAAAGCCACTGAGTCCGGGCTCGAACCATAGTCGACTACATGGGAGTCCAGCAACGTAGCCGTTAAGCCAACTGCTGGTCCCGCAAAAACCTCTCTTAAGAAAAAAAATAAGTAGAAAAGAAAGAAATAGAATGTAGGACCAGTCAGCGGCATGATGGTTAAGGCTACTGGGTCTTCCCTGGACAGCTGCTCGGTTTGAGTCCCGAACCCCACAGCTTTAAGATCTTAGGGGGCACATGTGCATGCGTGCCCAGAACCCCGAGAGGAGGTGACAGAGAGGGGTTTGCGGTGTGGCCCCTATGGCTGATGTCTCTGCCTGGCAAGCTCATGCCCTGTAACAAAGCTTAAAAACAAAACAAAGCAAAAAACAGTGCCATGGTGGAGCACACCTGCCCGCTCTGTCTGAGGCACGGTGGGTGGTGGGCCCCAGGGTTGCTGTAATAGAGTCTCAGAGGGGCCTCTCTGCTGCACCCCTGGCAGATCCCTGGCCGGCCTGGTCCATACTGCCTGGGTCTGGGAGCTGCTGCCCCTTCTCAGAAAGGGCCCTTCTACTCCGTGCAGGCGGTGGCCGGGTGCCCTGACTTCCTCGGGGTACCATCCAGCCCACGGGGGGCTGCCCTCGCCTGTCCCAGTGAATGTCCTGTTGGGGAACTGGGGCACATGTCAGCACGTGGGCTGGCCCACCTCGGCCTCCGGGCCTACTGCCCTGTCCCCGTAACCTCTCCACGTAATGCGCTCCGTGTGCTTTGTTCTCTGTTAAGTTTTGCCGTAGGGTGCGTGTGCTCACAGAGGGGGCCTGGGGGCCGTTGGAGTGAGGACCCCCATGGCCGTGTTGCAGTCCCTTCTCCACTTTCTTCAGGGTTTTGGGGACTCACGCACTCGGGGCTCAGCCTGTTTTTCTTTTTCTTTTTTAAAAATACTTAGTTTTTAATCTATGATTATTAGTTTCGTAACTCTCCAGAGAGCGAGAGAGAGAAGGAAAGTGAGAAAGCAAGCCTCCAGGTCTGGGACTCGAACTGCAGTCTGCTGAGTCCGAGTCCAGCGCCTTTGCTCTCAAGCCACCTGTTGGCTTTTAATTTGCCGGAGGGCACATGTGCTCCCTGGAGCTCTGTGGGGAACCCTGTGCGCCACCCGCCAGGCCCAGGCGGGGTGACCTGCGTCTCCCTGCAGGGCATCCTCCTGGTGTATGACATCACCAACCGCTGGTCCTTCGACGGCATTGACCGGTGGATGAAGGAGATCGACGAGGTGAGTGTGTGCATGTCCGGCGCTGCGGGAGGCGGTGCCCCTGTCCTCCCGTGCCAGCCCTGAGCGCCTGCAGGCCATCCCAGACAGCACCACGGCCACGCGGCAGTGGGCCCCACACTGGAGGAGGCCTGTCTCTTGGGGTCTGAGCACCGGCTGCCCTCTGGCCAGACCCCCCCAGACCTTTCTCAGCCTCACCCTGTTCCCTGGTCTGGACAGTGAGGGGGGCCCTGCTTTGTACCTCTGCTGAGCTCCGTGTCCCCCAAAGCATGCTCCCGGGGTCCCCCGGATCCTGGTTGGGAACCGGCTTCACCTGGCCTTCAAGCGGCAAGTGCCTACAGAGCAGGCGCGCGCCTACGCGGAGAAGAACTGCATGACCTTCTTCGAGGTCAGCCCGCTGTGCAACTTCAACGTCACGGAGTCCTTCACCGAGCTGTCGCGCATCGTGCTCATGCGGCATGGCATGGAGAAGATCTGGAGGCCCAACCGAGGTGGGCATCGCGCGCAGGCGGGGTGGCCCAGGCTCCAGGCAGGCCCTGTGCGGCTCCAGTGACCCACCCCCAGTGTCCCTCTCAGGGCCGTGGCCCTCCTTCCGCCCGCCCTACCCCCTGTGCTCAGCCAGCTTCCAGCCTTGTGTCTGCTGGCTTGGGCCATCCTGAGCATCCCAGTGGGCAGTGGGTGCACGTGGAGGCCGCCCCGTAGCCACAGCGCTCCCTGCCGCTCGGCCTGGGGAGCCCTCCTGTCAGCTGCCAGAGCGCCTCAGTGGGCGTGGCTATGCCATGTACCCTCCCTTCCTCCCGTCAGGACTTTGGACACGTGTGCACATTTGCACATGCACATACATATACACACACAGCGCATTTTTCAAGCCACCAGGGCCAGAGCCCAGACCGCAGTCGGCCACATGGGACCCGCTCCTGCAAGTGCTGGCCCTTTTAGAAAGTTTATTTCCATAAACAAGAGCGCACGAGACCCCAGAGAGTCCGCCACCGCCAGCCTTGGGTCACGGGCAGGCGTGTTCTGGCACCTCTGGAGGTCTCTGGATGTGAGCTGGAATCTTCCCGTGGGCCTCCCAGAGAGGGGCTTGCCCTTTCCCACTGCACGGTGGTCTGGCCCACTTCAGGCTGAGGCACCGGGAGCCATGCCTCCAGTGCCCCCGACTCAGCCTCAGCTGTGCCCTGAGGTGTGCCCCATCGCGCTCACGCCCCCGAGCACCCCAGCGGGTCTGGGAGTGGAAGGGAGGCGAGGGCAGCAGCCCCCTGACAAGCCAGGTGTGCTGGGCTGCCGGGCATGGTGCTGTCCAGGTCCCGAGAAACCCTGTCCCCGCAAGGCCACTGGGAGTGTGAAGACCTGCCCGGCGGGCACGCTCACTCTCGGCCTGCCTTTGTCCCCGCCTGCCGCCCGCAGTGTTCAGCCTGCAGGACCTCTGCTGCCGCGCCATTGTGTCCTGCACCCCGGTGCACCTCATCGACAAGCTTCCGCTGCCGGTCACCATCAAGAGCCACCTCAAGTCCTTCTCGATGGCCAACGGCATGAACGCTGTCATGATGCACGGGCGCTCCTACTCCCTGGCCAGCGGGGCAGGGGGCAGCAGCAAGGGCAACAGCCTCAAGAGGTCCAAGTCCATCCGCCCCCCGCAGAGCCCTCCCCAGAACTGCTCAAGGAGCAACTGCAAGATCTCCTAGCAGGCACGGCTGGCCAGGCGCCACCCTGTGCAGACACTGGGGACCGAGCCGGGGTGCCCTGGCCGGGCGCTGGTCCCAGCGCTGCACTCGGCCACAGTCCTGCAGCAGCACCCGGACGTTTTCCTGCCTGACCAGGCAGAAAAGGCGCTTGCACAGAGGACGCGCAACGGATGGCCAGACGGGCCGCAGCGGGTGGCGCGGGCACCCTGGGACTCAGGCTGGGAGGGCCCGGCTCGCCTTATTTATTCAGAGAGCGCCTCTCCTGTTTGTATGTCTCCAAGGGGAAGTGGGAAGCCCTGTGTAGAGCGGTGCACAGCCACAGCTGTGGGACGAGCTGGTGGCATTTTGGAAGGACAGTGTCTGAATCAGACGGGAGGGACTGGCTGTCGCTGCTAGAGTTCTCAGTTCGAGTACGTGGAGGCCAGTGGGAAGGCCCCACAAGCTGGCAGTGACCTGGGCCCTGGCCTGTGGCCAGCAGCCAGTGAGAGCATGGCGCCGTGAAGCCTGCTCGGCTGTCCCGGTGAGGGCCGGGTGCTCCCAGGAGAGGGGCAGGGGTGTGCTTGCGGCCGTGCCTTGGCTGTGCATGCCCATCAGGCGGGGGACCTCGCTGTCCTTGCGCCTCCACTGCACAAAGACGTTGGTGTTCCAGAGCCACTCGCAGCCTGTCGCCCTGCTGGCTGTGGTTGGCGCACCCTGCGGGTCAGCCCTGGCCCGAGTCCCTGTCGCGGCCGCACTCGCTGCCGTGTTTCTGCTCTGTGAGGGCTCTGGCCACCCTGACGCTACTGAGCGATGTACCCCAGTGGCCGCCTTGTCCTGTGTGGTTGTGGAGGGTGTCAGCCTGTTGGAGGCAGGTGCGTGGCAGTGCCCTGCAGCCGCTGACCCCCACACTGCGCTGCCACTCTCAGCGCTCCATGCCCGGGGACTCCGCCCCCTGGACCACCCTCCCCTCCCCATTGCACTGGCCTGCCTGCCTGGTGGCTCAGCGTCCTGGCCCTGGTCGCACTGGTGCTCAACTCTACCTCCTGGCCTGGCGGTCCCCCTCCCACCAGGCGCTCCTCTCCAGCAGTGGTTCTGCGTGGTGGCTGTTCTGGGAGGGCTGTGGCCCTGTGAGCTGCAGGCACTTGGGAGGCCTGGCCAGGCCAGGCATACCCCCTCCCGCCCGCCTGCTGCTAGTAGGACCCTTTGGCATTACGAGCAGTCATGGGATTGGTCACGAGGCCTGGCTGTCCTGCCTTCGCGTCACCAACACTACCCAGCTGCCGCCAACACTACCGTCTCGGGCCTCTGTAGACCGCCCCTCCCTTTGTACAGTAAAGTGATCAGCCAGACCCGCCTGTTGCCTCATCCACTCCTGGCTGCAGAGACGGCCCCTCCACCCCTGGCGGCCATGCTCCCTGCCCCGCTGCTTGCTTTCCACTGGGTTCTGGTCCTGGCCCGAGGGCCAAGACAGCCCTGTTTTCCTCAGTGGGCAGGAGCCCAGTGGCCAACAGCAGAGGCCCACCACCCCGCCCTGAGCCCGCAAGCTGGCTGGACAGCCCCGGGCAGGCCGGACCCAAGCTCGGCGTCTTCTGTGGGCCATGTCTGCCAGTGAGGCGTGCTCAGCAGGGGTGTGGTGGGTGCTGGGGCTCAGCTTCACTGAGGAGGATCCTCCACCCAGACATGGCCCCCACGCTGGGACCATGGGGACCATGGAGAAGCCGGGGTCCCTGGACTGCCAGGCTGCGGTGGCCCCCATGCCTGGCCCAGGGCAGAGGACGCAGGGTGCCTGGTGGCCACCCCATCTCACTCTAGTCAGATGCAGGGTCACCAGGACATTTTCCATCCTGTCTCCAAAATCCCTCAGGGCCTGGCCAGCACCCCACCTCCCCCAGCCGTGGTTCCTCAAGGACTTCCAGGGCTGCCCCTCCCCGCAGGTGCCCTGGGCCTCCTCCCTTGGGAGTCAGGTGCCCCAGGGCAGTAGGAGGGCCCCTGGGAATGAGGCTCCACCCCCACCCCTCAGTAAAGGGGCCCCAGCTGCAAAGTCCTCTCCAGCAGGCTCGAATTCTGCCCCAGTCCTGGCAAAGGTGGCCTTTCAGGGTCATGGAGGCTGGCTCTTCCCCAGGAAGGCACAGACTCCCCCCCCAAGGCCAGGCTGAATCAGGCGCCCTGTGTCAGCCAGACCTGTCCGGGGAGCTGCAGGCCATGGTCAGTTTGTGGGTGGGGAGTGGCTAACCCTAACCCTAACCCTGCCCATCTACCCCTCCGGCCAGTGCAGTTCATGGGGGTTCTGAGGGGTCCAGGACAAAAGGCCTCCCAACCCTGCCCCCTTTCCTGAACCAAGGGTGGGAGGGTCTTCAGGGAGACTTTGATCCCAGCAGGCCTCATCCCCAGCTCAGCCCAGCCCGCTGGTGTGGAGGGAGGGGCTCGGGTTACAGACCCCTGCCCCCACCCCTCGGAGCCGGCCCTTCTCACCCTGTGACCCTCACGGCCAATGGCCCTCTGCTCTCCTCCCCCTGCCCGAACCCACTAGCCGGGAGGCCTGGGAGCCGCTGGACACGGCCAGGCCAGGCCAGCCAGGGACGGCACCTCATGGGCGGACTCTGAGAGCTCCAGATCCGGAGCCCACTGTCCTGGACGTCAGTGGCCGTGGGGACAAAGAGAACCTGTGTGGGGAGGGGCCTGAGTGCGGGCACAAGGGCCCGAGGACGCAGGCCTGGTGGGTGGTCGCCCAAGGGAGCTGGGCTCTGCATCCCGGCAGCCACCCCGCCCTGCAGTCCCCATGCCGGCCCCACCGCCCTTCCTGCCTCTGCTGCTGCTGGTCGGGCTGACCTCACGGGTTGACCTGCTGCTAGGGCCTGGGGGCCACCCGGGTGTGTGCCCCAACCAGCTGAGCCCCAACCTGTGGGTGGACGCCCAGAGCACCTGTGAGCGTGAGTGCGTCGGGGACCAGGTGAGCTTGGGGAGGGCCGGGGGCAAGCACCTGGGCAGGCAACCCCCCTTTCTGGGGCTCCTGACGAGTCCACAGCCCTGCAAGGGACGCCCCACCCCTGTTCTCACTGAGGAACAAGGGCCCTTCCTCACCAGACCTGCCCCTCCCGCCCTGGACGCCATGTACTCTCCTGAAGGCAGAGCAGGCCCACCCTAAGGCACCTCCTAGCGTCGCCTTGGCCTCTGCCTTCTCACACGTGGGGTGGGGGGTGGTGGTCTGCCTCACAGCCTGGCCTGGCCCGGGGCCTGCTGTGCGTCCAGCCTGTCTTCCATCTGTCCGTGGCAACAGCCAGCCGCAGAGCTCGCCTGGCTGGGCAGCAAACACCGTTGGCTTAGAGGGGAAACTGAGGCCCAGGGAGGCAGCTGCAGGCTGCAGGGCAGGGGCTGGGGGTGGGCAGGGAGGGTGTCAGGGCTCCCACTGCGCTGCCCCCAGGACTGCAAGGCCTCCGAGAAGTGCTGTGCCAACGTGTGCGGGCTGCACAGCTGCGTGGCCGCCCGCTCCCCGCCCGGCAGCCCGGCTGCGCCCACCCCAGCCAACAGCCGGGGCTTC